AATAACTAATGTATAACTAATATTTTTTATATATACCTATATACATTGATAAAACGTAGCTTATTCGATCGTACGTAAACATAAATTAGTAGAAATTATTATTTCACATTAAAAGGTGTGGAAAAATCCTTAATTTTATCACTCATTTTGAAAAGCATCTACGTGCTGTTTTGTACGCATGTTACTCAAAAACTCAATGGAAAATTCCAACAATCCCATCAGTATAAACACACGTAATATATAACACTCGTTATATACTTTTTCCCCTTCTTCTTTTTCTATACCTAGGAATGTACGTGTGGGTTCACACGTCCACACGTATATCAATATATATTTCCATATACACAATTGTATTTATATATATATATATATATATACTAATATTTCTACACATTTCCTACATACTTATGCTTATTAATATACGTATATATGTGTGTGTATATATGTATCATTGTATACACGCATATATACATACTTATATACGTACGTATATATATATATATATATATATATATATATTTATATTTATATTTATTTGTGTGTATATATATATATATTTAAGCGCGCGTCCGCGCGCGCGTGTGATGTGTGATTACCGAAAAACATCTATCATAAGTTTGCTCAGCGTACACAAACAGGTCTGGCGCAGTTTGATACGTGATGCGATGTATTTTTAAGAACCGGCATAAGAAGGTCAGCATTTTCAAAAATATGACATTTCATTTTCATGATCTGAATACACTTTGAAGTAATATTTAAATGATATAAATTTGCCGCATTATATATAAGTATAAAGAAAAATATATCATCAGAAAATTGCACATAAAAAACTTCGTTTTAAATATTTTTTAATGAACATTTTATTTATTTAATATTAAATTCTTATAAGTAATTGAATAAATTTATGTAAGAAAAACATCATATAAATCAAAGTTTATTTTATATTTTAGAAAATAATGAAAAGGGTAATAAAAATAATTAAATTATATATATTTATATATCTCTAAAAATACCGCATATATATATTTATAAGAAAAGGTTTGAATATGTAAAAATTTCTTAATAGGATTAATTTTTTCACTTATATGAATGTTATTGTCAATAAAATTAAAAAATATTTTGCATTGAAATAATGTTTTATTGAAAATTGAATAATTATACGCAGTTCTGGTTTTTATTTAAAATCCGGTTTATAATTTAATAATCAACTTCAAAACATAAATTTAATTTCATTAATAACAATAGTTTTTTAAGATATTTAGAAAACAATACATTAGACATAATTTTTGTATATATAAATTGTTTATCGAAGTTAAGAATTTATTTTTCATAAATATATCAATTTTATTTTCTATTAATATTGTTCCTAACGTACGAAAATATAAAAAATAAATTTCATTATTTAAAAACTTTTAGAGGCTTGAATTCGTATTTCGATAAAGATAAATATCAATAAAAAGAAACTAATGGTAGATTTTAAAATTACAGATAAAAAAATTTCACTTTATATTGACATTGTATATGTGACATTAATATATTTATTTAGTATTGAATATTTACATAAACAAACGAATTGAAATCATTAGTAATTGTTATGTAGTATTAAACATCTTACTATCTTCTGTATATGTATCGCGTTTATGAATAAAAAATTAATTTTTCTGCAGTATATTCATCTAAACAATGTAAAAAATTTAATTTAAAACCTACACATTCAATTTATCTTTTACAATAACATTTTTTAAATATTTTAAAAAGAAGAACTTTTTTTCATCGCCTCATTCACATATAGACACTTGTGGACGCACCCAACACATATCAATAATAATACAAATATAATAATAAATCATGTTAGAAAATATCACAATATTTATGACATAAATTTGTTTGTAAACTAATATTGATTATCGGTTGAAAATATTAGTGGTAGTTTAAAATTTATTTTACTTATCGAAATTTTCATTTGTAACTATTTATATAATTTAATCAATAACAGATATAATAGATATAATTATAGTAGTTATATGGAAAATAAAATTACTTTTAATATTTATACATAAAATTAATATTTATGTACATAAGATATAAATATATATTCATATGCATTTTTCATATTTTAATGACTTAATTTTTAATCAATAGCTATTTTTTCATTAATAAGGTATTTTTTAGATTAACTTTTAATATTATAAATTAATCTTATATATATATATATATATATTTATTTATTTATTTAATTATTTATTTATATTTATTGTACACATTAAAAGTACATGTTAAGTTTCAATATATGAATCAATTTCATATTTTGACAAATTGTTTTAACAATAAATTAATAATTTAATTGTATGAAGAGCCACATAATCATTTATATGCCTATAATAAACGTCATTTTTATTAAATGTAAATATTTAATTTTCAATATATTTTTTTTAATTCAATCCCTAATAACTTTATATGGTACATATTAAAAAAAAAGAAAGTATAATTTGCTTAATTTTGTGAAATAAATTATTCAAATTTTAATTGTGTTTTTGATATCTATTTAATAGATGAAAATTAATATTTTTAATTTTGTTTCAAATTTTATTCTAAGATTTCTTATAAATTCATGAACAGGTTTATCAATGCATTTTACAAAAGATGAGTTGTCGATATATATTAGATCTTATTAGATTTTATTATGAACAAATACAATAGCGTAAATTATATTTATTCATTAGACTTGTAACTTGTTACCCAATTTTTAATTTATGCTTTTATATGTCTCCCTCTTCCTCTAGTTTTTTCTATGACTATATTTCTTCTTATACATGATACATGCGTAACTAACTTAATACACATAACTGAATAGTAGCTCAATGATTACCTTGATTTTCTTTCACAATTTTACAATTAACCAATAAAAATAAACGTTACAACTTATGTTAAAACATAAATGTTTACATTATATTAATAGCATAAGATTAATTTCTGTACTTTTTATAAAGTATTTTTTAAAGTACTGATCTTATATTGCAATTAAAATATTGGATAAAAATTTATAGAAACTTTAAGACTTAGAAAGTTAGTGATATTTACAATGGTGCTTAATTTACTTAATTTAACGATACTAATAATATACGATAGAAGAGTAAACCTTGAAAGATTAAAAAATGTTAACCTCATAAAATTATAATTTAATTTTGCATTAAATAAATGACTATTATGAAATTTTTCTAAAAACAAAAGCCTTTATAATTCAGCTTCATTCATTAATAAAGTATAGAATTAATACAATATAAAAACTTCTGTAGAAAATTATTAAAATATAATGTTAACAAAAACTGGGGCACATAAATAAAAAAGATTTTCAGAAGAAAAGTATCAGCGTCCAATATTTGAAATTAATATTGTCAATGAAACAAATTCGTTATCAATTTCGAAATGTCAAACATACGATATTATGCAATTATTGTTTTGAATTATATTAAATTATTATAAAAAGTATTAATATTGTCTAATAAAAAATTGAAGAAAAATATTAAAATAATGTGTATAGCAAGAAAATAAATTAATGTAACTGTGTTATGAATTTCAATTATACGTGAGATACTTAATTTTTGCCAAATAATGATTTATTCGAATATAAATATTATATCTGCTGTATTATATTTTAATTAAATTTTATGTTTAAATGATATATATTCAAAAATTATTCACATAATTTCAAAAAATAATAAATTTTTTTAATCAATCGATACAATTTTTAAATAAAAAGTTTACATTTTTAATAAAACAAAATTTTATTAAAATAAAACATGTAATTTTATTTCTCCTTCATTTGTAAAATATTAATTACAGATTCACTAGGATAGCCGTATATTGAAGTGCATGAATATATATTTTTAAGCAAAAAATAACAAATATCCTTAATACTCTAGACATACAATTAGTACGTATATAAATTACAGTCTAATGCTTTAAAATAATTTTAATCAGCTAAGAAAAAAAAAATTCTGTTCAACTTCAAAGTTGCTTCCACTCACTTTTCCTCCTATCCTGAATGGAATACACAAGTCAGACAAGAAGAAAAATAACATAAACTAACGACAAATGCAGATGATGCCTTTGGGATTCGAGAGATCTGTTGAGAATACGAAAGAGATAAAG